CCTAGAGTCAATCAAGCATAGTCTCAACCCGTGCATACCTTTACTACCTAGGAAGAAATTCATTCAAAAGACAAAGTCCAATGTACAAAGTCCAATTCATAAGGAAAACAAAAAAAAAGGTGAAAAACAATCCTCAAAAGAATACCACATACCAAGACAAGAACATAGTAAAAATAAGGGAAAAAAAATAAAAGGAAAAGAAAAGAAAAGGAAAGCCATAGATAAAGGAAGAATAGGAAAAATTGAGAAAGGAACTAGAAAGCAAGTCAAACACATATATCCCAATCGACATACAAGTGATCGAATGACAACAACGACAACGATCCCAAACACATTACGTGTTAAAGCAATCATCCTCGAACCGTTCAACTTACCCTAAACTAAACCTAATCTATGCATCCAAAGAAAATAAATAGAAAAATTAGAAAGGTCTCACCAGGCTATCCATGCTTAGCATAATAAACAAAGGCGATAAAAAGAACCACCTTCGTTGCGTTCCAAAATCGTAAGCATCATCAAAAATCCATGTGAGAATAAGAAAAGCAAAAAAAGCTATAAACAAAGAAAAAGGTTAGTAAAGTAAAACTAAACAAGGCTAACAAAAACACTAAACTACTAAGCAAAACTAAACTAATCAAAGACGAAAAAGGAAAGTAAAGAAAGACTAAGTAAACAACTAAACAACTAACTAACTAAAATACACTAGACTACAAGATTTGGATTCAAAGGGATTTGGATTCAAAGGTTTTGCATATAAGGGAGCAAGAATCAATCAACATCATCACAAGGAAAACATCACAACAACAATGGCAAAACAAGCTCATGGGACTGGCAACAAGCATCAACAAGACTAGAGACCAAGATATGAAAACCATCATGCAAGAGGCAAATAAAATACAAGGTAAGCAACAACAACAAATATTGGCAACCGAGATATAGATGAAGTTCCCCCAAGCTAATCATGAATACATCTCAACATCCCAACAATACAAATCAAGAACATAAAACATAAGGGATGGAGGTAAAAGACACAAAAGAGAGGGAACTAAGACTCATCATTACCACCACCACTTGGCCCAACCTCATTGGAATCATTGTTTCCTATGTAGTCATCGAAGGTTGGGGGTGAGTAAGGAGCCCAACCTCCAGCGTATCCTTCGGGCCAACCATAATGCCCCTTGAAGTTATCTTGCTGCCAAGGGGCAAGAGGTGAGAATTGCTCAGACAACGTAAGCTCTAATGGATGGTTAGGGTGCACATAGGGGTAATTAGAGTCACCCCTATAGTCACACCCTCCGGGAGCACGGTAATCATAGTTACCGCGCTCGTCCGGGTAAGAAAGAGGCTCGGTACCGGGCTCTAGATGCCCTTGCCAATAAGGATGCCCATGAAAAGGTATAGGACCTTGCTGGGGCGGAAAGAAAGGATAGTTAACCGGGGGAGTGATGCTCCCTCGGTTAACCTCTGCATCATATAGATTTTGTTGTTGAATGAACATACCTTGTTGCATTTCGAAAATACCTCGCATTTGGAAGTAGAGGGCCTCAAAATCTTGGTCATACATGCCCTCCAAGCGAATTTGCAACCATTCATTTGGTTGCTAAGGGCCTCCATGTCGGAGCTAGGAAATTGAGGTTGTTGCACTTGTCCTTCTTGTTGTTGTTGTTGTTGTTGTTGTTGTTTTTGTTGTTGTTGTTGTTGTTGTTGAGGATGTTGTGGCTCTTCTTCTTCCTCTTCTTCTTCTTCTTCTTCTTTTTTTTCATCGGAGTCAAAGAAGGGGCGACGGAAGCTCTTTGAGACATGCCACACATTAGGGGTGTCCATCTGGTGGACAGATGACAAAGATGGGTTGGGAAGGTAGCACCAATGCTTGTTATCCCAAAGCCGCTCATAATGCCCCTCCTCATAATTCTTGGAGATAAATTGAATTTTCCCCAATTATTTCATATCAAGGTACACGGAGTCGGCATCTCCAATCGGCTTGCAATATGGCAAATGATGATCAAGGTTGATGTTGGTCAAGAGCCTAGTGACCATTCCCCCACAAGGAATCTCCCCGGTGTCCCGGTCTTGCAAGGCTACACAATAAGTGGCAAAGATGTACCCCAAATTCAACCGGCCACGATATTCTACTCTAGTGGCCAACCATAGAATTTTAAGTTGCTCATACTTATGAAAAATATAAGGCTCTAGATCCAAGATGTCACCATGAGGATCAAAATCTAGAGCGGCATTGAATTGCTCTAAGGAGTGGTCAAAGAAGTTATTGAAAATTTGGAATCGAACCCTACATTGACCTCCTACGGGAACTATATCAACCGTAGCAAAGAACTCGAGAGTGGGCTTAACATAGGTGCGGTAGCTTTGGGAGATGAATGTGCCCATCCAAAGGTTGATTAACAACTCTCTTACATCCTCATCAATCCCCAACACGGACATGTCGGGTTGGAAGTAGTGTCTTGTGGGTTTGAGGGAGCGGTTTTCCTTTAATTTATTGTACCGGTTCTTTTGTTTTTGATCGTGGAATTTTCTTTTAGAGGGTGGAGTAGGGTTGCGTGTTTGGGAGTTGGATGTGCTTGGGGTAGGCTCATCAATGGAGGTGTTTGTTTTGCGTTTCTTGACAAGGTTTTTGATGACTCTCAACATGATGAACTTCAATGCAAGGATCAAAAAAACCAACCACAAAATTCCACAACAACAATCTGCAAAATCACCAACCAAGAACTTCAATATCCAACAATCACAATTCCAATCCAAATTACCTATCAACACCAAACAACCAACAATTTCTTCCCGCACAATCAATAATCACAAGAAGAACCAAGAATACCACAATAGCACCTTACTACCCAAACTACCAAAATTCAAATTCCAAATTTCTCAACAAAATTGCTCACAAATGCTACAAAATCAACAAACAACACAATGTGAGGTGAAAATAAACAACAAACAACACAAATAATCATCAAAAAACCAATATCAATCACCAAAATCATCAAAGTTGATACTACCACTATTCATGCTCATGAACAAATCAAAACTTGCAAATATATGACATAATTAAGTAATTAAAAGCTAGAGAAGCTGATTATACCATATATGAAGCAAGATTGAACAACTTTTAGCCACCAATTTTCACCAAATTGAAAAACCCAAATTATACCCAAGTATGGAGGAGAGAGATTGGAAGTTTAATTTGGTGAAAGTAGTATAAATTTGATGATTTGGATGAAAATGGAGAAGATTTTAGTGAATTTGGAGTGAAAATTTGAGTGATTTGGGTTGAAATTTGATGAGTTGTTGAAGTATGAGGTGCGGTTTTGAGGGCTTGAGGATGATGGGGGTCGAAGCTATGAAGGAGGAATAAGGGGAAATGAAAGAAGAAAGGAAGGAAAGAAAAATAAAGGGGGCACGGCAAGGGGTGCGCTCGCACCAGGCACGTGCGCGCCCGCACCTCTGCTAGCCCTATTTCTTCTTCTTTTTACTTCTTGGTGCGTTCATCGGTGGGTTTATCGATCAAGATCAACATTTAGGTTATTGAACCCACTGAAAGTGGCAGATTCAAATCAAGATTTTAGTGGGTTCAAAATCCCAAAATAATGGTAGGATCACATGAACCCACCAAGTGCGAAATTCCTTTAACTTTAAAGCACAAAATTCCCTATCTTACCTCACTAAAAGTCTTACCCTTTTACCTCAAATTCCAATGATATCGAATATAATCACATCAAAAACCGCAAACACCTTCTCATTCCTCATGCTCACTTGATGAAATCCAATCCCAAAAATGCAACCTACAAATCCAAACAAGTAGAAAAGTGAATGAAAAGAAACTAAAAGAAGGAAAAATAAGAAAAATTCAAAAATAAAAAAGAAAAGTTAGAAATCTCTGGGCTGCCTCCCGGGAAGCGCTTGCTTATGGTCCTAAGCTCGAACCTTCCTCCAAATCATGGAGGGTCAAAGAACACCACCTTCTTCAAGGTAGCGGAAAGAGCAAAATTTTCTTCAACTTCTAGCAACCTCTTGTTGTTTCTTGATGAAACTTCCTTCAAAGACTTTTTAATTGCAAATTTTTCTTTCCATAACTTCTTTCTCTCTCTCTCTTCTTCTTCTTAGAATCACGAGCTTTTTTCTTTGGCTTGTTGTTCATTGTAGATGTTTCCTCACCATCCATACTCATGGAAACATCCCCTTCATCTTGAGGATAGAGCTCAAATCAATGAGGAATTTCAACTTCCTCCTCGTCCATAAGCTTGGGAATCATCATTTTCTCTTCACTAACCCTCTTGCCATCAAAACTTGAAAGAGCATCATCACAATTCTCAAGTACATCGTTAGTTGAAGAATCAATCATGCACACATTATCAATAGGGCGAGGGGAGTTAGCACACATAATACCTTGCACAAGAGACAAAGACTCGTGCATTGGTTTCAACTCAAAACTTTCCTCTTTCTTACCAACTCTCAAGGTAATACGGCTTCCTTTCATATCTATTAAGGCTCCCGAAGTGGCTAAGAAAGGTCTTCCTAAAATGATAGGGATATGATCATCTTCCGCAATATCAAGCACAATGAAATCAACGGGAATAGTGAACCCTCCTATCTTAAGAGGAATATCCTCAACTCTCCCCTTTGGAATAATAATAGTCTGATCGGCCAATTGAAGGGTTATGTTAGATGGGAGGAGCTCACCTAGCTTGAGTTTCTTGAAAATGGAATAAGGCATGACGCTCACACTAGCTCTAAGATCACAAAAAGTATTATCAAACATTTTTCCTTTGATCTCACATGGAATAGAGAAATTACCCGGATCCTCCATCTTCTTGAGCTACTCATTATGAATGAAAGCACTACAACAACTCCCAACTTCAACCAAATCAACATCATTAAACATTCTCTTCCCGCGCAAAATCTCATTAAACATTTGGGTAATTGCATCGGTGATGGGGATAGAAAGGTGAACGTCCTTGAGCATAGTAAGAAACTTTCCAAATTGCTCATCAATTTTTGTGCCTCAAGAATTTTTGTGGGTATGGAAGGTCGGGTCTCCACACTTCCTCACGCTCTTTCTCACTACTCCTCTTTTTCTCTTGCACCTCCTCATGACTCACACTCTTAGACACAACCTTCTCAACTTCCTCTCTTAGGTCACTCCTTTCCTCATCCTCCTCAATGGACCTAAAAACTCCCTCATTAAGAACTCTCCCACTCCTAGTGGTGATAGAATACATGGGTTTCTTAGGTTCTACTCCTTGAGAAGGCAAGGAGGATGGACTAGCACAGTCCTTTAGAGTGTTGGCTAGTTGGGTTATTTGTGTCTTAAGCATTTTGTTATGAGTCATCATCTCATTAAATTTCTTGTCACTCACCGCCATATAGGTGTTAATGATCTTGGTTTTGTTATCAATAATTTCTTCCAAATTTTTCCTAAATGATGATAGTTGGGAATAAGAATTTTCACTATTGGCTTAAGACTTTGGAGCAAAACCGGGTGGGGGTCCCCTTTGGTTGTAATTTTGAAAGCTTCCCCGATTTTGGTTGTTGTTCCAATTGCCATGGCCTTGACTATTGCTACCATTATGGTAATGGTTACTAAAGCCAGAGATTGACTTTGGTTACCATACCCATGGCTTGGGTTTTGATTACTATAACCTTGGTTGTTATAGTTACCTCGGAAACCTTTGTTTCCTTGGTTCCTATAGCCTCCATTGTTGTAGTTATCGAAACCACCTTGGGGGTGAGAATTCCTATTACCAAAATTCTTAGGTCCATCAAACCTTTGACCAACATTGGCATTAGACACAAAGTTCACATGTTCACATTCATTAGTTTCAACATCATCACATCCATCAACAAAAGTTTTAGAACACATGGAAGAATCATGATCATAAGATCCACAAGAATCACAAAATAGACAACCACTTGGCATGTTATTGGAAGTAGAAGGAGACGAGTTAGAAAGTGTACCTCTACCTTTGGATTGGGAGGGAAGACTCAATGAGTTTGTAGAAACACTCTCAAGCTAATCTTTGATCGATGTCACTTCCTTCCCTAGATTTGAAATTAGGGAGGACAAGTTGTTAATCGCGTTGAGATGATCCACTGAATAAACAGTCGAGCCACTCTTGCTCGTAGACTCCCTCTCTCCTTATTGCCAATCTCTATAGTATCTCACCACGTCTTCAATTATGTCAACTACCTCTTCTTCTGTCCTATTCATTATAGGACCTCCGACTCCTCCATCTAGGCATGACTTGCCTTGAGCACTCAAGTCTCCATAGAAAATTTGTATCACTTGATAGGTAGGAATTCCATGATGTGGGCACTCTCTTTGGTACTCCTTGTACCTCTCCCATGCTTCATAGAGATTCTCATTAGGCCTTTGTTTGAATCCTTGGATCAAGGCTCTAGCCTCCACCGTCTTCTTTTGTGGGTAAAAGCGAGACAATAAAGCTTTTGTGACTTCATCCCACGTCCTAAGGGAATTGGGCTTAACCTCCTTATCCATCCACTCTAAGGCACGACCAATAAGAGAAAAGGGAAACAACTTTAGCCGAATGAATTCTTGAGAATGTCGTTCACTTTGATAGTATTACAATACTTATCAAATTCCTTTGGGTGATTCAACGGGCTCTCACTCTTGGCTCCTCTAAATTTCCTCCGTTCTATCAAAGTAATCATGATCGGACTTATTTCGAAATCGTTCGTCGGTGCTGTAGGTGGAGAAATGTCGCTCTCAAACCTACTAGCATCGGGAATTCCCAACTCCTTCAAAGCTTTGGATTCTTTCCCATGCTTTTCTCTTCCTCTTCCTCAAACTCTTCTTCACTAGAGGAACTTAGGCTAAAATATCGGTTGTCTATCCTTCTTCGTGAAAGAGTTCTTTCAATTTCCGGATCCAAAGGAACTAAGGACCTATCACGAGTTCTACTAAGCATGAGAAATTGTTAGTAACGCAGCTACAAGTGTAGCCTAAAAGAAAGAAGAAAAATCTTTTTGTGTTTTTGAATAAGATGGAATAGAATTAACAACAATACACAATCACAACACCATTCCCCAGCAACAGCGCCATTTTGACGAGGGTCGAGACTAGGTCGTTGAAACTAACCCCTACCCAAAGCCAAACAAAATTTGTAATCTCTCAACACACCCTTACACAAGTATAATGGTAAGTTGAGGGTCGAACCACTAAGGAATGGTGGGAGATTATCAATTGCCTAAGTCAAGCTACTCTAAAATGATAGGGTGTAGGTATGTAAACTAGGACAAGGATGACTAAACAACGAATTGAAATCAAGTATGTAAAACGCTAGGGCTAAGATCCACATGCGATCGTAACGGATTCAACTAATTGGGAGGTCAAAGTGACTAAGTCAAGCAATGTGAGGGAAGACCAATCATGCAACCAAAAGAGCATATCAAGCTATTTTCCTAGAGGTCTAACTAGCGACAACTACGATAAACTCTAGCTACGAACGTCACAAGACACCTCAATCATTAAATGCAAGCCACAAATCAATGGTCTGTATGAATGTGAACTTACAATGCAATCTAGTGCAACAATCAAAGTTAGCTACTCTTTAATTAATCACACACATGCACATGATCATCAACCAACACTACTAAAATTTGGCTAAATTGCGACCGTATTTCTACGACCGTCTGAAAAAAGGTCTCAAATTATGAAATTTGCGACCGTTTTTTATGCGGTCGCAATATTACGACTGCTTTGACAACGGTCGCAAATTTACGACCGTTTTGCAACCACTAGGATGTTTGAACAATTAAAAATAATTCTAAATTAAATTAAATCGTTTGCGACCATCAAAGACAGTCGTAAATGTCATAATCTGCGACCGTCAAAGAGACGATCGTAAATGTCATAATCTGCGACCTTCAAAGAGACGGTAGTAAATGTCAGAATCTGTGACCGCCTCTAAAACTGTCGCAGATTTCTAATTTTGCGACTGTTTTAGAGGTCGTAATTGTTTTTTTTTTTTAAAAAAAATAGGGTATAAAAGAGATGGAAATGAAACTCACCCTAACCCTAATATTTTTACAGCCGCTACTCCTTCATTTTCTTATCTCCTCTCTTTCCTTCTCACGTTCCTCCTCTCTCTAATTCTCTTTCTCTTTCTCTAAATTTCCTCCCGTACTCTTTCCTCTTCTACTTCTCGTTCTCTTTCCTCACCCTCCTCCTTTTCTTTTTCTTTGTTTCTTCTTCATTTTATCTTTTCCTTAGGATTTCTCTCAACTAATGAATTGTGGTGTTGTATTTTCGTCAAAATTTGGTATTAATGGTCAAATTCGACCATAAAAATTCCAGGTCCGGAGTTTTTATGGTTGAATTTGACCATATAAACCTAAAGAGGAAGAAGTTTTGTGAAAGGTATGTATTTCTTCTCTGAATTTTTATTATATTTTTGTTTATTCTCAATTTTTGTTGTTTTATTTTGTTCTCTAATTTCCATGTTTGCTCAATTTTTTTTCCGATTTTTTTTTTGTGCTTTTTGTGTGAGTTTTGGTTCGATTTTTGTGTGTATTTGTTTGAGTTTTGGTTTAAATTTTTGTTGATTTTGTTCAAATAGTGGTTCGATTTTTGTCGAAATTGTGTGATTCACTAGGCGAAAAATGCAATTGGCCACCGGTTGAAAACCCCCCATTGCCACCGGTTTTGAACCGGTGGTCATTTGGGGGGTGGTAATAAATCAGCAATTGGCCACCGGTTCAAAACCGGTGGCAATAGTGGTCATGGCCACCGGTTAACCGGTGGTAATACTAATTATGGCCACCGGTTAACCGGTGGCAATAAAAAAATGGTGCCTTTTTTTAGCTGTTGAAGGTAGACTATTGCCACCGGTTCAAACCAGTAAACCGTTGGCAATAAAAGGAACGTTTTTTTTTTTTTTTTTTTTTTTTTGCCTGCAATTATTCCTGCAACTGATCCTGCTATAATATTCTGGCATATTATTCCTTTAAATTCTGCCATAATATAATTATTAATAATAATCATAACAAGAATTAAAAATATATATTTAGACTACCTTTATAATTAAAATCCAAATGCAATACAACAAATTAAATAAAGTGTGATATATAAAAAAATACAAACAATACTAATAACTAGTCAATATTGTAGTTTAAAAGTTAATAATAAACAAAGTATAAATTCAAAATGATGCCATATTTACAAATTGAAGGTGATGAAAGATGCCAACATGTCTCGAACTTCATTAAGCTCCCTGCTAGTTAACGGATCCCCCTTTTTCACCTTGCAAAACTTGGAATATATATTAAATTATGTTAGAATAAATTAAAAACATTCGCATTTTCATCCAAAATAGCCAAAATAAGGCCTATATGACTTCTACTTGCCCATTTTCTACATTTTTAAACAAATGACCAAGTTGTTTCTCATAACATGTCAATTATACTTAGTTATAGGTGGCTAAGCCTTGAAATCAAAGGAAAAGGGCATTTTACTAAATTTAAGGTCTCAATTTCATCCAAAATAGCCAAAGTAAGGCCTATTTGACTTCTACTTGCCCATTTTCTACATTTTTCAACAAATGACCAAGTTCTTTCTCATAACATGTCAATTATACATGGTTATAAGTGGCTAAGCCTTGAAATCAAAGGAAAAGGGCATTTTACTAAGTTTAAGGTCGCATTTTCATTCAAAATAGCCAAAATAAGGCCTATTTGACTTTTACTTGCCCATTTTCTACATTTTTAAACAAATGATCAAGTTCTTTCTCATAACATGTCAATTATACATAGTTATAGGTGGATAGGCCTTGAAATCACATAAAAAGGGCATTTGACTAAGTTTAAGGTCTCATTTTCATCCAAAATAGCCAATATAAGGCCTATTTGACTTCTACTTGCCCATTTTCTACATTTTTAAACAAATGACCAAGTTCTTTCTCATAACATGACAATTTTACATAGTTATAGGTGGCTAAGCATTAAAATCAAAGGAAAAGGGCATTTTACTAAGTTTAAGGTCTCAATTTCATCCAAAATAGCCAAAATAAGGCCTATTTGACTTCTACTTGCCCATTTTCTACATTTTTAAACAAATGATCAAGTTCTTTCTCATAATATGTCAATTATACATAGTTATAGGTTGCTAGGCCTTGAAATCACAGAAAAAGGGCATTTGACTAAGTTTAAGGTCTCAGTTTCATCCAAAATAGCCAAAATAAGGCCTATTTGACTTCTACTTGCCCATTTTCTACATTTTTAAACAAATGACCAAGTTCTTTCTCATAACATGAAAATTATACATATTTATAGGTGGCTAAGCATTGAAATCAAAGGAAAAGTACATTTTACTAAGTTTAAGGTCTCAATTTCATCCAAAATAGCCAAAATAAGGCCTATTTGACTTCTACTTGCCCATTTTCTACATTTTTAAACAAATGACCAAGTTCTTTCTCATAACATGACAATTATACATAATTATAGGTGGATAAGCATTGAAATCAAAGGAAAAGGGCATTTTACTAAGTTTAAGGTCTCAATTTCATCCAAAATAGCCAAAATAAGGCCTATTTGACTTCTACTTGCCCATTTTCTACATTTTTAAACAAATGATCAAGTTCTTTCTCATAACATGTCAATTATACATAGTTATAGGTGGCTAGGCCTTGAAATCACATAAAAAGGGCATTTGACTAAGTTTAAGGTCTCATTTTCATCCAAAATAGCCAAAATAAGGCCTATTTGACTTCTACTTGCCCATTTTCTACATTTTTAAACAAATGACCAAGTTCTTTCTCATAACATTTCAATTATACTTAGTTATAAGTGGCTAAGCCTTGAAATCAAAGAAAAAGGGCATTTTACTAAGTTTAAGGTCGTACCTCATCAAGATGTATGGTGTTTGAACAATTAGTCGCTATCTCAAGCATGAATCTCATCACG